CCACCCACCTAGGAAGACCCTTTGGGACACCGTCATCTTTACAGAATCATCTCTCCTCATTCACCCTATCCTCAACCAAACAGGGAGAGCTTAACTCACCTGAGCCCTTCGGCCAACATTCATGATCACAAACAGTGATTTAGATGAACTGATGACTGCACTGGCCTAAGCCTCCAGAAAAACACTCCTGCACTCCAAACCCAGAAGCACTGTCACCAGAGGGAGGGAAACCGTTCCTAAGATCCATGGCCACTTTGGTTAATGCATGTAAAATCAGAAAAAGTATCCCGATCACCTCAGGGAGCTCCACCAGGAAGCCCTTCCCCAAGCAAACCCTGCTGAAGTCTGAAACAGGCTCCATATTGCACTGCTGTACAGAGTGCTAAACTGAGACTGAACAAAATTGGGCCTCGTTTAAATTGTGCCAAAACAGTTATGTCAGCAGGAAGATCACCCATAGCAATTTATAGATTCCCAAGGTGCATTTGATGTCCAGAGCACAACGCCAGCTTCCTTAACACTGCAGCACACAGCTCTGAACACTAGGAGCCAAACCACAAGTGAACCAGCTCCAAGCTCCTGATCTGTGGCATTTCGTGTTCTTCTCATTTTACCAACTTCTCGTTCTGAGTGACAGAGCTAAATGCGTTCCAGAAGAGCTGAGCACAGGACAGCTTTGAGCCGGTCGCACTGGACTGCACTCAGGCCCTATGAGTGGGTGATACGAGTTGTCCCCTAAAACTCCAGGGTAGCAGGACCTGGAACAAATGCAAGAAAGCAGGAGCAAGTTGGAAGCACAGCTTCCAGAAGAGCAATCCACAAAAAGCTGCAGCCAACCACACAAAGCTGCTGCCAGCCCGCTGCTCTCCAGGGCCACAGCTTCATCCCTGCCCAGGTGGGAGCGCTGGGCCTTGCAAAGCACTGCCATGGCAGAGGACAGCCAACCCACACACCACGAAGAAAACAACAGGAAAAGCAGCTTCAGCACACAGCCCAGCAAGGCTGCGCTGTCCAGAAGCCAGGCCACAGCAGCGAGGCCACACTGCCCTTCAGGACAGCCCAGGGCTCTTTTCTCCACTGGCAGGGTAAGTACAGAGTTATTTCCCCCATTTCAGCCTCACACCTGCAGTGACATCTACTGCTGAGATGTGCATCGTTAGCAAAGCTCCAGGCTTCGGGAAGGTCACTGGCGGGACGTGTAGGGACCAGCGTGCCCCCAAAAGGCGAGACGTGGGAAAGGTCAAAATAAATACCGGCTTTCCAGCAACAAATGAACGAGCGGCACTTCTCGAAATGCCACAAAGCAACGACAGCTCGTTACAAAGAAAGCCTCGGCAGCACAACCACAGCGCAGGTCCTGCGGGCGCCGTGTTAAACGCGGGCATGTTTGCTTTCTGCAAGTAGGGAGTCCAGCACCGGGGGCAGAGCAAGGCGGCGCGCCTCGCTACAACAGCGGCAATTAAGCGGGAGGCGGCCCGGCTGTGCGGAGCCCCGGGGGCCGCACGAAGCACCGCGCGCGTTCCGCGAGGCGCTCGCACCTGAGCGCGGCAAGGGGCGCGCGGGGCCGCAGGCGGAGCCCGCCCTGCTCTGAGGGGCTTCACCGCCACAGGGCCCGGCACCGCCGGGTGCAGCGCTACCGCGAGTTGCTGCGGTGCGCGGACGGCTCGTGAAACCAGACGGCGGTCACACGGGGAGACGGGGGAGAACCGAACAGCGGAACAAAGGCACGGAGCGGGGCACGGCGAGCGGCCCGCCGGCGGCAGGGCGGACACACGGCCGGACACCGACCCGCCGCTCCCCCGCTCGGTCTCCCCGCAGCCCCGCTCTGGAGCCTCCCGGCCCGGCGCCGCCATGTTCTGCGGAGCCGCCACCATTTTGGGACGAGGCCCCGCACGGCCGCCGCTCCCCAGCCCGCCCGCTCCGTGCCCGGACACCGCGGCAGACCCGCGCCTCTCGCCGCGCACGGGCGGAGCCGCCCCGCCCCTCCACGCCGCGCGGAGCCGAGCAGCGCCGGCTGCCGCCCCCGCCCCCCGCTCACCATGGCTCGGGCCGGCAGCGCTGGGAGCGACAGACGCGCGACGGGTCTGAGCGGCACCACAAACGCGGCCGACCTTCCCGGGACGGTTTATATAGCGGGAGGGACGGGGCGGCTGACTCCCCGCGCGTTGCCCATTGGTTAAGCCTCATGCGGAGGCACCACCCCTTCGCGGTGCTATTGGGGAGTCCGCGAGGAGAGACGATCCGCTCAACCAATCGGTGACAGGTAGCGGCCGAGCGGGCCGCGCCATTGGGCCGCAGATATGAATTTCAGCGTCTTGCGCTAACTATTGGTCGATTCGTAAAGAGGGGCGGAGACGGGGCGGTGCTTCGCCTTCCCGCCAACGGAGGCCAGCGCCCATTTTCTCACCTCAGGCGCTGGGCGCTGCTCTCCTGGCGCGCTGAGAGGACTTAAACGCAAACGGCCGCGTAGAGACCGCTGAAACCTGTGCACCCGGAGTCAAAACGCCCCAACTCAGGCTGGGTGTTAAGAGAAGAAGCGTAAAAACGATTCAAAATCCCTGCCGTGTTTCTTAACGTTTACAAACCAGCAGAAAGAGCAGCGCTGCGCTGTAACGCGGGCGGCCGCTCCTCCCTCGGCCGAGCTGAGCTTCCAGGGCAGGATACGAGCTCTAAACGAGGAGATGCTGTTTTCCTCTTCCCGAGCTGCAGGCACCCGTGCAGGTTTCCACAGCGCGTGCGAGTCAAACCAAAGGGTGCCAGGCCCCAGAGCGCGCAGGGCTGCGGCCAGCTGTGAGCGGGACGCGCCGCAGAAGGACGCTGCTAAGCACGGCCAGCAGCTCCAGGGCAGACGGACGGACGCCTTCAGCAGCACGGCCTGCGTCCTTTCCCTGGCTCTCAGGGCTCCTCCAGCTGCTTCTGAACAACCGCAGCGGGTTCCCTCTGGCAGAGCTCCGACACAGCGCCGCACGCACAGCGGCTGCCTGCCTTCCTCCAGGGAACGTAGAGACGCTGCAAGACAAGGAACGTGAGGGAGGGAACAAACGCCGCTGAATGCAGCACTGCCTGCTGCTTCCCCAGCGACAACCCTGGGTACATCGTGGACAAATGCACCCATGCGGGGGATTCTTACAGCACGGCTTCTCGCCCCAGGGACGCTTAGCTCCTACCGACACCACAAAGGGCCCCGAAAGGCTTCTGAAGGACGGGCCGCCCGCAGCTCTGACCTGTCCTGCCAGACAGCGCTCACCCAGCAGGGCAGGCTGCTGGAAAACCTCCACTCTGGCTCTCATCACTTTGTCCTCCTCTGGCGGCTGAGCTGCAGCTGCTTTGGCAGAACATGAGCTGCTTTTCGGCCCAGCTGCGTTCATGGGATTGGCGCCCGCCCTGAGCTGGTCACAGCTGTGCCAAGGAGAGAAGGATAGCAGAGCATTTCTCCGGGCAGAAGCTGTATCTGAACAGTTCATACTTTAACCAAAGACAAAATCAAAGCCCCCAGAAAGCAACCACGCGGTGTTTGACCAAAGGACACCCTCTGCCACGAGCCGCTGCCATTCACACAGCACACTGACATCCAGGTATGCAGGACTGAAAGCTGTGCTGTCAGCTCTGCACAGCAACTCTGCAGGTCGAGCTGTGCCACTCCGAATGAAGTATTAGGAGACAGATGCGAGAACCACATTCCCCAAAGGGATTCCTGCTTTCCTCTTCAGGTAAGGGAAACACAACCCTGGTGACCCAGAAACCTTTTTCCCCACTTCCCTGCCTCACCAGCACCAGCAGGTCCCAGCACACTTGTGAGAAAGCTGTGCTTTGAGAGCGGGGCTGGCGAGCAGCTCAGCATGGAAAAATTATTTACATTGAGATGCAGAAGAGGAGTTGGTTAAAAGGAGTGTAAAGCTGGCTTTTATCAAAATCATCTTCTCTTTGCACTTTTATGGCAAACTCCGCTCATCTGCTGCGGTTTCTTTCCATGTTCCCCAGCAGCTGCAAAACACTCAGTGGTTTTAGGCAAAATACTTGGTGGTTTCGTGCTCCTTTGATTCCAGGCTTTGTTGTAACCTGGCTTTGCAGGAGGCAGGGAAGCGTTTCCCTGCACTATTTGTTTAAGGACCCTGAAGCTATTTCCTATTATTTCCTTCCCTCCTACTTTGCTTGTTCCTGCCAAGGAATGTAATGTTAGGCACGTAAAATAACACTCACAATCTTCATAATACATTTCAGATATCCCAAACACTCACATGTCGTAAAAACTGCCCATGTGGATGCAGCAGTATCTGATTACAGAGCTCTGCTGCTCTGTGAAAATAAGCATTGCAACTTAGGCAAGTGAGAAAATGCCAATACTACACTTCCTAGCAGAACTGCCCTGTTTGTATCCATCCACTGCCCCTCTCTGCACCCTGATGAGCCCCTTGTTTTGACACGTGATGGCAGCAGGTTTCTTTCCAGGCCACCAATAAAGCTGCCACCCTTCAGCTCCAGCCCAGCACCACCCCCAGCAGCTCCCAGTATCAGGATAGCACGTGCACAACTCTTTGGGAGGTGTCACTAACCACAAGCCTGTCCTGCACACTGATGTTGCAAAGATGAAAGTATTGTACAGATGCCAAAGGTACGCCATCCACCCATCCCCTCCTCCCATTACTAATCCTGGACTGCCCACAGAGGTTTGTGGCAGAATAACCAACATCTTGGCTGCTTACTTTTCTATTATGGCAGTTTTCTGATACTAACAGTGCAGGCGCTCAAGCACTGGGAAAGAAGGGACTCATTTCTCCCTCCTCTGCTGTCATCAGACCAGAACAGGTTATCATTTCTGGATAACCTTCCTGAGGCTGTGCCCGCCTTAGGCTCTGCCAGCAAAATGGTTTAAGAAAAGAGAAGTGAGGGAAAGCCTGCCCCACAGTGCTAAGGAGTAACAGCATTAGTCTTTACCCCCAACAGACTGTGACTTTGGCTGTGAACATACAAATTCATCATTGACAGTTGAACCTTAGCTGAATTGGTACCAAAAGTGTTTAATAGCATAACATGCTGACACATTTGCTGCAGAAAGGACGTCCTCTGCAGGCCTGACCCACAGCTACCCCATAAAGCTGTGCATTATTCATACAAGGGTTTGCAAACCTGGAATACAGACTGGACTGCAACCACCAAAAGATAAAAGGCTGTAAGAACCACAGCTGCTGTGGGCTCCTGCAACATGCAGTCAGATTTGTGACCATCTTTGAAGAGAGGCCACTGCTGGAGGCAACATCCCAGCACTGCTCCTACCAGCAGAAGGGAACTTACCTCCTGTTTAATGTGCACGCAGCTCTTCTGACATTCTTCAGCTCTGAGACACTGAATCATCACACTCTGCTCATCCAAGTCCTTTTCAGGATGGAATCTCTGCATTCTTCCTTCCTGAACATGTTACCATCCCGCATGTTTTCTTTATTTGCCCCTCCATCAGCCTGTGCTGCCCGGTATCTGTATCTTGTTTTATTTCCAAGTACTCAGTTAATAAAACCACATCAGCTAAAATACCTTACGCACACTTTAGGTACCATATATTCTTACAGGTTACAGTTGTCAAATAGGGTGAGATTTTAGAGAACCTAAATGTTAAGGTCTGGGGCAGGGAACATCTGAACATCAACAGAGCACACAGCCTGACACCCGCAGCTGCCCCGGCTGCAGGTCAGACACTTCATGGATCAGCACAGCAGTCCTCTCCTCCTCCTGCTCTGCGCCAGCACTGCTGGGGCTGTGCCACAAACCAGTCACCCCAGAGACATCCCCCACATTTAGAACAGCCACGACACAAGGAGGAGTGACAGAGCAGCCATGAAAACCCGGGACGCTCCCAGCATGCGTGACACCGAGCTGCCCTGCAGAGCCATCCTGCCGTGCCGTTCTGCAGCTCTGCCACCAGCGCTGCTGCTCCCATGTGTCTGTGCTGTGCCGTGCGTCCTGCTGTGCCGTATGTCCTGCTGTGCCGTGCGTCCTGCTGTGCCGTGCGTCCTGCTGTGCCGTGCGTCCCGCAGTCCGGCGGTGGCTGAGGGGCGCAGTGCCGCTCTGCAGCATCACAGCGGTCCTCGTGCCGCCCAGCAGGGCTGCACCCGGCGCTGCCAGCCGTCCCAGCCCCGCGCCGCCGTCACTCGTGGGCCACGCGCTCCAGCGCCACGTAGAAGCTGTCCTTGTCGTCCACGCAGTGCCAGCCGATGGGCCCGGCCTCGCAGTCGGCGCACACCAGGAACTTGACGTTGCCCACGTCGCGGGTGAAGCCCACGTTCTCGAAGGAGAACATGTCGCGCACCAGCCAGTGCTCCCGCACCACGTCCCCGTCGCTGCCGTCCGCCGGCGCCGGCGCCTTCTTCCTCATGGCGGGCAGCAGCAGCTGCGGGGAGCACCGCGTCACCGCGACATCGCGATACCGCCACATCGCGATACCGCCACATCGCGATACCGCGACACCGCCCCGCCGCCAGGGGGCGCCCTCCGCCCCGCCCCGCCCGCCTCCGGCCGCTCCCCGGTACCTCACGGCAGGTGAACGTGGCGGCTCCGGGCAGCAGCACCCGAGATCCGCAGCGCTGGCACAGCACCGCCTTCAGGTTCCGGCCCTGCGCGCACACCAGCCCGGCAGATCCCGGCGCGGCGGCGGCGGCGGCGGGAGGAGAAGAAGGAGGCGCCGCCGCCGGCTCCATCTCCGCACAGGCCGCCGCCATGGCCGCGCAGGCGCAGCCGGGGCCGCCGCCGCCCGAGGGCGGAGCCGAGCGGTGACGACGGCGCACGCGCGGCGCTGAGGCGGGCACTCGTGGCGGGGGGCGGGGCGGGGCCACGTGCTCGGCCTCGCGCTCGGCCCATCGCCGCGCCTTCAGCCCGACCGCGGAGAGGCCGGGAGAAGCGGGCGGAGCCGCCGCGCCGCGCTGGGTTCCCGCACTGCGCATCACGAGGGCGGAGCGTTTGCTCCGGGCCTGCGAGCTGCGGGATGAAGGCAGCGCTGGAGGCGGCCGCGTGGCTGAGCAGGCGTGGATGGACGTCCGGACGGCGCGGAACAGAAGGTAAATTCCTTCTGGCTCAGGAAATATTTTATTTTTTATGTTTTCAATAAAAAATGAACATAGGAAACAAAACCACGGAACACTTGTGTAAGAGAAACGAACGCAGAAGGTCAGAGCGTTGGCTGAAAGTGCATACTTATGTCATGCTACCACGCCCCTGATCCCAGCCTGTGCCCCAAGCAGACCAGCAGTAAGCTCGAGGAGCAGCACTACGAGCACAGGCGCTGCGGCAGAGGAGAGCCTGCGGGCAGCAGGAACGCGGCGCGGTGCCGGGCGGTGCTGGGAGCTCCTGGGACCGGCAATGGGACGCCGTGCTGGGGCTCAGCCTGTGGGACGGGCGGCGGACAGCTGGGGGCAGGGAGGGCAAAGCTGAGAACATGGGGGCAAAACAGAACCCTGGATGTGACTCCAAAACAGGCCTGGAAGCAGGGAAATCCTAAATAACGGGAAAACCAACACCATGAATTCGAGTTACGGCACTGGGCAGACAGCTGCCCAGGGAAGAACCAGTTCATCAGCAGGGACAGAGCCACCGCATCGCTGTGCCCCGGCCTCAGGCTGCACGTCGGCCTCCCCACAGGGGTGGGAGCAAAGGCACTGCCTGTGGCAGCAGGGCTCCTGTGGCCAGAAAATGCAGCTCTTTGCAGCTGGGACTGTCAAGCTTTTCAAGGGAAGTACGATGTGATGCGCCTTGCCGAGCCCCCCACTACAGCACACAGTGCTGCCTCGATGCCAGGCAGTGGATTTCCCCGGCCCTCTGCCCCTGCAGCCTCAGGCTTTTAGGTCTCAGTAGTTGACAGCTTCAATCTGCGACTCCTTGTGTGCAGAACCTGCAGCTGCAGTGCAGGACCTCTCGCACACACATGCTCGTTCAGTTTGGCTCTGCACTGACGTGTGCTTGAGGAACGAGTTGAGAACATTCAGTATGTACAGGATGATTCGAAGCAGGAACGTAGGAGCAGCTGGATTCCACCCGCACGTATCCACGGGGCCGAGAGCAACCAGAGCACCCAGCCGGTCCTGCAGCAGCCACAGAGACCACCCAGCTGTGTGTATGTCCTCACATGTGCTCACCAGGCCGGCTGATGCCAGCTGGGGGCTGCTCTGCTCTGCTGGGAAAATGAGCCACAGGAACAGCAGAAAATGCAGCTTCTCTCGACCCACTTCATCGCCTTCCTCCAGCTTCACACAGAGCCCCCGACTTCAAATGACTGCAGAGATCACACGATTATGCACATGCTCTAGTCAAAGCAGCACAGAAAGCTGCTGTTCTGGTGCCTACTTCCACAGCATCCACAACTCTCAAAAACAGTCACTGCAAATCACTGGGGACTCTTCTTCCAGCAGACAGTACTGGGGATGTGCTTTGAAAGCTCTCTCCAGATCACTTCTCCCGAAGGACGCAGACCCCGGCGTCACAGCGCTGCATCCCCAGGGAGGTCACCACTTCCCAGCTGTCGATGATGGGATCGTAGCACTCAATGCTGCTCAGCAGTGAATTGCCATCGTACCTGCAAGGGCGGAAAGTTACTGTGTCACTTCGAGCCACTCAAACCTCTTCCTGACACACGGAGCACCTTCCCCTCCAGCCCACGGCCGCCTCTTACCCAGCGATTGCATACAGCCTTCCCCGCAGCACGGTGGCCCCCACGTAGCAGCGGGGGGTGGTCATGCTGGTTACAGTGGTCCAGGAATCAGTGCGGATGTTGTAGGCTTCCACAGAGGAGAGATGCGCCGTCCCGTCGAACCCACCAACAACATAAATGTGGTCGTTCAGCAGAGCCACGCCGGCGCCTGCACAGAGAGGAGGACAGAGGAGTGCTGGCAGTGCTGTGCGCAGTGCTGCAACTCTGAAACTCTGCCAGCTTCTGCTCAATTTCCAGTCGGGGGGAGCGACCAGCTGCAGCCAGGGCAGCAGGAGCAGCACCAGGTGCTCAGCTACCTGTGAGATCTGCTGTGCTCAGCTGCCTCACCAAGAGCAGAAATGCTGTTGGCCCTGAGCGGTGTGGTGATGGCAGAAGAGGAACTGTGCTGCCAGCAGGGTGCAGGGCAGCCCCAGGCACCACAGCAGCAGAGGGCACAGCAGCAGAGCATGGGTAGAAAGGAGCTGCAAGAAACAAGTTCTGAGAAATAACTTTCTGCAAAAGGAGGATTCAGACTATATTTTTCTCCTAGATCCAGCTGGCAAGCTTGAAGTTCAGATAGGACACCAAGCAGGAAACAGAAGCTGCAAGCTGTGTGGCTGCACAGTGGCTCCAGTTGGCCGTGTAACGCTTTCCTAGCAGTGCTGCTCTCTGCTGTCCTGGCTGCCCAGGGGATGAGGCCCAATGCTGCCCCCAGCACCCCTCACTGACTGCGCCCTGCAGCTAACGAGCGCTGCCTTCACACACTGTCCCATTACTTCACACACAACAGCCATGTTGCCTGTTCCTTGCCAGTTCCTAATTAGGGCAGTCACAGCAGACTTAACCTCTCCCTGCAGCCTGTAAAGCCACACTCACACTCCTTTATGGATCCTCCTCCCGGGGATCTAAGCCAGCACGTGAGCTCCTACCTGAGCGCTTAGTGGCCATCGGTGTGACATTAGTCCAGTGTCCCGTGTGGGGATCGTACCTCTCCACAGAATTCAGTATGTTCAGCCCATCGTAGCCACCTGAAACACAAGAGAGGAGCAAACCGTGGGTCTGACTTCTGGAGAAGTTTTCTGTGCACAGAGCAGCAATGTGCCTGGTTCAGCCTCAGCACGGCGCTGCACTGTGAGCAGCACAACTCACAGCACACCATGCTGGCAGAGCAAAGAGGATCAGTGCAGCACTCCCAGCCAGCACAGCCACTGCACTGCGCAGCGCTGCCTCGCAGTGTCTGCTGCCATCCCAGCGGAGCGCAGCACGGCTTCCAGGACCGGCGCTGGCTCAGGATCTGCTGCCCGCAGGCACCTACCGAGGCAGTAGATAACTCCATTGGCGACGACAAGCCCCGCTCCTTCCCGTGCTGTCTGCATGTCTCCCAGCATGCTCCACTGGTCGATGTTTGGGTCGTAGCGTTCCATGCTGGTGTGGCGTCGGCTCCCATCGAACCCACCAGAAACATAAATCATATCTGCAAGGACAGAGCAGGGGTGGCTCAGCAGATCGAGCACCAAACGTGCACATGGAGTACGAAGGCCCTCACAGACAGAGCAAATCTACAACGTGGACTGCAAAATACAGCAACCACAGCAGAACTTGGCACGTTTGAAGCTGAAAGAAATGCAGACTGCTCACCCCCATAGCATCAGCCTGCCCGCAGAGCCAACCAACCAAACCCAGAACCCAGCCGGCCCTTCCAGCTGCTTATCCACCACAGAGCTCCCCCTCCACAGCCCCTCCTTGAGCTCCCATCGCTCAGAGCTCAAAGAATGGAGATGCAGCAGGGCAGGTTTCCATTGCTGTATCTGAGCAAAGAGCTGCCAGACCTGCAGGACCCCAGGGATCCGCCCCGCGGCCCAGGACGCACCTCCCAGGGTTGTGGCTCCCGCCAGCCCGCGCCGCACATTCATGGGTGCCACGGAGTACCAGATCCCATCCTCATCTGATGTGTAATCCAGGCACTCCACGGAGCTGAGGCGCGAGCGGCCGTCGTAGCCCCCGATGACGTAGATCCGGTCGTGCAGGGACACGGTCGCCACGTAACGCCTCTTACGGGTGATGCTCTGAAATGGTGCAGAAAAACAAAGGGTCGAGGAGAAACGACCCCCATGTAGGCACAGCAGCTGCCCTTCTCCTATCCCATCTTTGCTGCTTTTTTGGAAAACGGCACGCCAAGGCAGAGGCACACGACACTGTGGATTTTAGGGATCCAGCTCTGGCTGAAATGCACCAGGACTGCATCTGCTTTCTGCAGCCTCTGCTCCTGCTGCCCAGGTCTCTTTGCGCAGAAGTATTCTGCATTAAATGTCAGCTTATCTCCTGTCACTGCTGAATCCCTGGCGCATCCTGGAGGTGTGCATGCCTCCCACCGCTCCCTGTCAATGGGGAAATGTGGAGGCTACAGAGATCTCACGGATGCAGCTGAAGCTTTTGGCCTCCCAAAAAAAGAACCGAATTTTGGGAGACAAAATTAGTGGTAACAAAGAGGCTCTGCACTACTTCAGACTGATACAGCTGCTGTTAAGACCGCAGTGCAGAAGCTCTTTCTTAATAAATCCCATTTCACTCAGACCCAGTGCGAGCAGGGATCACACAGCCCACCACGAAGCAGCTCTGGCCCCAGTGCTCCCACTGACATCCCAGGTATCACCTCCAAACTTCACAGCTCAGCATCCCTTGACAACAAAACGTGCTTCCCTTCAGCTCTCACTCCCACAGCAGAGATGCGGTCTCTGCAGGCTCAGCCCAGCAGATACGGCAGCAACCTCTTCCACAGAGCTTTCTTAGTAAATCTTTACATGCAAAGCAATTCCAGCATTTACTGTATACACCTCCACAACCCAAATGAATTGATAGCCCAGAGCAGGTTACGTGGCCGACGGCACGCGATCAGTGTTTGATGTCAGCGCGTCCATTCCGCACAACGATGGTCAGAAAAGGTTCCTTACGGGCAGGAAACTCCACTCCTGGGTCTTCGGGTCGTACTTCTCCACAACATCAATGGGTGACTGCTGGCTGCCAAAGCCGCCGATCACAAGCAGGAC